AGAAGTCATTAAAAATGTTCAAAGTGATTCTTTTTGGAGCAATGTGAAGAGGCAGTGAGAATGCTCCCCAATTGGCCAAAGCCTGGGTGCTGCTGCATCCCCAAGTCCAGCACCTGCATTCTGCTGCCATCATCACCATGCCCAAGAGAAAGGCAGAAGGGGATGCTAAGGGAGAAAAAGCCAAGGTGAAGGATGAGCCACAGGGGAGATCTGCAAGGTTTAAGGCTAAACCTGCCCCTCCAAAGCCAGAGCCTAAATCTAAAGAGGCCCCTGCACAGACAGGAAAGATGGGACCCAGCAAAGGGGCAGGCTGATGCTGGCAAGGACAGGAGTAACCCTGCATAAAATGGTAGATACCAAAGAGACCAGGCACAGAAAGCTGAAGGTGCTGCAGGCACCAAGTGAAGTGTGTGTGTGTTTGCTAACTGTGTACTTCTGGTGGCTGGACAGTTTGAAATACTATCAAGTTTTATAAAAATGCAGAATTTTGTTTTTGGGGAAGGGGCAAGTGTAGTAGGTCTCTGAAGCTAGACTGAGTGAATGAAAACACCTTTACCTTATAGTTTTGAGAGACTTGCTCTTGGTTTTCAGAAGGAAGGATTCTCTGATGTTGATGCTGGCAAACTTGGCACAAATGCCTTGTGGTGTGGAACAACAAAAACCTTTTTTTATATCCTCTTCTTTCTCTGCCTTCAGCATAGAATTGACTACCATAAATCCAGAGATCTTTTGGATCTGATTCCCCAAGAAACCATGTTGTCAGGCAATCTGGAACATTTTGGTGATGCCATCTGAGTAGTATTCCTCAAAAGAGCTGTGGTTCCTCTTTTTTTAAAAAAAGATTGTGGATCTTTAGATTGGTAACACTGCCATTTTTTTAAAATTTTTTTTATTTTTTTAAATTTTTTTTTTTAATTTTTGTTTTTTTAATTTTTGTTTCTTTTGTTAAACAACATGCTAAACATGAAATGTCAACCCTCACTCTAAATTTTCTCTGCTGAGACATCAAATGAAGTTTCCACTGGGTTTTATAGAGGCTTTCTGATTTTGACAGTCCACTGAAGGAGGGAGTTTGAAAGTTGTTGTACACTGTTAATGACTGTTTGCCTACGTTTTGCCTGAAATAAAATGATTGTTTATGAAAAGTATTTTTAATAAAGCTGGATATAGTTTGGCTTGGTGAGGGAAAAGTGATTATTTCTGGCCTTTTCTCCTTTCGATGAGTCAAGTCTGTCCTTTTGGGGATGTAACTTCCTGATAAATCTATCATAACTATTTACCCTTAAAAAAATAAGTGATTATTTCCTTGATAGTGGAATTTCAAGAGCTTTTTACTTCCTCCTATGCTTTTTTCTGTTGAGGGAGCTCTGGTGGTTTAGTGGCAAGCTACACTGCAATCCCAGAGAAATGTGGCTCAAATCCACCAGATGCTCTGCTGGAGAAGGAGGGGCAATCTCCTCCTGTACCAGTCAGATTCGATTTGACGGTACACGCACAAAAGAAAAAAAAAAAGGTAAAACTGAGTCTAGGGTATCCTGGAGCCTCTGAGGGGTCCTGAAGGCCAGGTTATAAAGGGGCCTTATTCACCATCCAATCCAATGTCAATGAAGAAAATGTTCCAGAGCTAAAATATGTCAGAGGAGAAGGTGTCTAATATTATTTTCAGCCCTGAAATTCTCAGTGTTTGTGTCTGCCCTCAACAAAGTTTAAGGAAATACATATGCAGGAAAAGTACTTGGTGAAGAATTGTGTATTAATCAGAAATTGCTAAAAACTAAATAACCAGTTTTTCTGCATTTGATCTCAAATGTTTGAGCAATTTTTGCTTAATGAGTATGTAATGAATGTTTCCAATTCTACCAACCTAATCCAAGCCAACTATTCCCCAAACAATACCTTTTTACAGATCTCTGGGCTGTATTTTTTGTTTCCTCTTTATATTAACATATATATGAAAAAGGCATCATTATATATAAAAGCTGTATAAATGTACAAGCCTTTAATACAAGAAAAGTAAAATTATATTCAGTTTTATATTCACTCATTAAAATTGAAGCCATCAAATATAACTCTATTTTTCAATTAATATCAGAGAATTTTACGAAGAATTCCTTTCTATATATATTAAATCGGCAATTCTTGTAATAGAAACTAGATCTTTTCTTAACTCTGTTGCCTAACTGGAACTCATAGTTGACCCTCCAGTGAGTTTTCAATGGCTACAAATCGCATAGGAAAATACGTTTTTCTTTTCCTGTGGAGACACTGGTGGATTTGAACTGCCAGGGAGGAGGAACCTTTGGGTCAGGAGCTTAACTCCCTATAGACATAATAGTAGAGAACTAGAGCTGTCATACAGAAGTGTGTGGTTCTAAAGAGGGGAGCTCTTGTGGTCTATGGGGTAGAGTTGTACTATAAACCCACAGGTGGGAGGTCAGAAGCCACCACAGGAGAAACATGGGCAACTTCTGGAGGGAGGCACAGCATCGGAAACACACTGGAAGGTGAACTATGAGTTGGCTCTGGTCGACGGCAGTGAGCTTTTTGGAAGGGACAGAAATTTTTTTCATAGTTTAGAAGATCAGAAGTCTGAACTCGGGATGCAGCTCTGGAGAAGGGTCTTCCTTGTCTACTGCCAGCAAAATGGGCTTGCTGACACACCCATCTCTAGTATCTATATTCCTCTTATCTTTTGTGTGTTTTTGTACTCTACTCGTTATAACTAAAAACAAGCGACCCTAGGATGTCATGACATCATCACTATTGTTACATATAAACAGACAGAATCTTGCCCTATCCAACAATTTCCTCGAAATCCCCGACCTGCTCCACCTCAGTGTTGCAGTCACTGAGTCAATCCAAAAAGGATCACACCTACAGGTACAGGGGTCAGGAATTCAAAACATATGAGAGAGTGGGAGGCAAGGGGAGAACACAATGCGATCTGTAACACCCCTGTCAAGAAAAGAGCCATGTTCCCCCCAATACACATATGCAATGATCCCTCCTGATCTGATAAACTAATCAGCTATGAAAAGTATTGAGGAGGAAACACAACATTCCTTAAGCCCATCACAGCCCAACTCCAAAACGAGGAGGGTAGTCTGATAGGACTCTCAGTCTTTCAGCATCAAATCTCCCTGACACATGGGACCTCCAGGGAATGTGTGGCCTATGGATATTGCAGGAAACAAGAACTTTCTGTCACATCACAAAGAGAGGGCCTTCCACTAGAGCTGGCACCCTCAATTTGGACTTCTAGCCTCCTGGACTGTAAGAGAACTTGTTAAAGTCATCCACCTGTAGTAGTGATGCTATAAGAGAACTAAGACAATCCTTCAAAAGAATACAGTCTTGAAACAGTTATCCAAAGATGTGGATTCTAGCAAAGGGCTTTTTACTCACTTGCTGCCATGTCAGTTTCAGCCTTTCGTACTGCTCTTTACCATCTCCTGAACAATCGGAACAAGTCAACCTAAAGAAGTTATCACCCTTTAGGTAACTGATCGGCTCTCTCAGCTGACCTAGAGGAAAACCAGTCACATCATAGGTGAATCTGGAAAGCAGTAGCAAATATTTAATCATTTCTATCCACCAGATTCCCCGTTTCCCCACGCTGTGCTTAGTCATCCAAATCAAGATAGCAAATGGGGAGATTTGTATTCTTCTAGCATCAAGTGCAAGAATATGAATTAATCTGATGTTTCTTAGCTTTATGATACTGCAAATCCAGGAATTATTATTAATTGCTCTCACTGGACTTTTCAACTGTTACCTTCCAGATTCCTGGATACTAGGGAATATTCTGTAGAAAGCTGCAATGCGAACCCCAAAGCAGCATATGTCAGACAGTTAGAATCTACAAGCGGCCTGAGAGGGCAATCTTCTCCCAGGCAATTTACAGCCTCCCAGAAACCTGCTGGACGGTTAGCTTTGAGTCAGTTTTGACTGGACAGTGAGTGATAGGTTAGTCTTTTTACATATTCTTTTCAAAAGTATCTAAGCTAAGCACTGGCCAAGAACTGGGAACATAATGCACAAAACATCCTACTCTCTCGCTGACAAATTTTGAGGACTATGGCTCCAGCAGGTCATCACAACAGTGATTCTCCATCCCCAACCACCATCAGTTAACCAAGCAGTTGTTTTTCTTTCTAATATGTTTTTTCTTTCTAATAATATCTGGCCACCCTAGATGAAGTGACTATCTCTGGGAACAGAATATGGGTCTCGACTCACAGCTGACCCCTGTGATATGGGCTGGCAGTAAGTTTTACTGGTATAATTTTTTCTATCCTTTATCTAAATTTATGGTTGTAAACTAAATAATAATGTTACTTAATTTAGATCCATTTTATACTCAACTTTCTTTCACACATTAAAGAGGGAAAAAGCCTTACTTAGGAATCAACAAGAAAAAAGATTTAGGGCATTCCTTACTGGCTGGAATCCACTTCTGACACTTGTCACAGAAATAGGACAGCTGTTCCTCCATCCAGGACATGTCTCCTTCATCACTATTGAGGGAATCCCCACTTTGGTCATGTGATAAGTCCACTGAAGCCTGGTCCTCTGACTCGACAATCAGAAGCGTCTCCCCCTCCACTTCACCTTCCTCCAGTCCTTCTGAGGTAGATGTTCTTGTGGCTTCATCATCATGTCGACTTATTAAACCACCCAGGTGGATATTACTATCCATCCCTTCTTACCAGTCCAGAAAGGCTTCAGTAATAATCCAAGCTCTGGACACCAAGTTTAAAGGTGCTTCTATTAAAATCACACAAACAGAAACCCGTTAGTAGAACATCTACCCACAGATATGATGGGACTTTATATAAACAGTAACTTACTACATGGTCCACTGTTTTTTGATATGATAAAATTTTCAAAAAGATGATGACTGAAAAAAGATGTGAGATGTCACAAAGTTATTCATCATCTGAATATATCACACACAGAGAGCACAATATGTTCCATAAATAATTCATATTCATTTTAAGTCATGGTTTTTGAGGTCCTTTTGTCAATAACATCTTCTCTCTTTCAGCTTCAAGTTGTTCAGTCAAAATAATCTGTTCTCCCAAAAGACGGATGTTTTCTTTTTTCCGATTCTGTCTCTCAATGTCTCTGATCACTCCTTCACGAAGTCTCTAAAATAAAAAAGGCTTTCAGTAACACTCTGAACAGTTGGTTCCCAATGTTTACCATCCCAATCCATCGTAATATTATTATGAAAATATACTCAAAATACTAAAATTTTAAATATGAAGAACAAATTTTAACATTCTTTACAAATGTAAAATGTAATGTTGCTGCTGAATGACTTCAAGTCGAGCACAATTCATAGTAACCCTACGAATAAAAGGCTTGAAGCCCCTTGACAACTATAAACATTTATCAAAGTTCTTAGAGTATCCAAAAGCATGTTGTTTAGGAAGTGGATACCACTCTTGCTTCAAAAAAAAATGTAATGAATCATCAAATTATTTTGGAATATGGTAACAACTATGTGACTAGTGAAACTACTTCTTACCATATCCTAAGAAATGCGAACATATAGTACAGAAATAGGAAATAATGATTAAGAAAAAAATGGCATTCTGCTAAAATTTAAAAGACATTTAATTAATACTTGACTAAAATTATCACAGTAACTCTATGGGACACTTTTCTATTAGCACTTCTACTACCTGAATAGAAAACAAGAAAAAAAATTACTAAAATCTGAACTCTAAGAAGTCAACAGAGTAAAGAACTTGGTTTCTTCTAGTATACAAAGGCAGAAAGCAAATATTATATTAAAATTACCAGAGGAATTAGATGGTGCCTTGCTACTGTGCTTACCTACTCTGAAAGGGAACACAACTGAAATCTGACAGATTGAGGGGGGAAATGTCAAAGAAAATGCAAAGTTGTGATGAAGGCCAAGCTTACTAGTTGGATGGAAATTGGTTAAAATCCCTTAGACCACAGCACACAGCTCAACTTTCAGTCACAGAAAGGCAAGCCAGTAAGAGGAACAAAAACACCAAGAAGGAAGGCACTCCTTAGAATCACCAACCATAGAAGACGCAAGGAGCCATGCTTACCCCAGATCAATGTTCTCAAAAGGCATAAGAGTGTAAGAAAGAATGGTGAGCAGAAACAGGGAGGAAGGGAGATGAAGACTTGTAACCAATGTCACAAAACAGAATGTGGATGAACTGTTAAATGCAAGATCAATTCACTCTGAAGCTTTCATTCAAACCACAATAAAAAGTTAAATTCTTATATATATAAATTAAAAAAAAGAAACAAATAACACACACATATACGTTTGTTGTTGCTGTTGTTAAGTGCTGTCAAGTTAACTATGCCCCATAGCCAGCCTATGAACAATGGATCTGAACTCTACCCTACCCTGTGCCATTCTCATCATCTCTGTCTGACATACTGGAGCCCACCATTACAGTCACTTTCATTACATCTTGTTGATCTTTCCCTTCCTTCCCTGACCCTCCAGCTTTTCAAGCACGATGTCTTTTTCCAAGGACTAGTACCTCCTAAAAACATGCCCAAAGTATATAAGATAAAGTTTATAAAATTTCTTATTGATTATATAAGAGAAAGAAGAGGGAAAGCTAATTTTATCCAAGGGAAAAATAAAAACCACCATAAATGGTGGTTACCTTAATAAGCACTTAAAAGACAGAAAATTCCAGAATGTGAATTTGGCCTCAAAGATGAGCTTTTCAAAACATCAACTCAGTCATGATCAACAACTAACACAAAATATAGTTTTTAAATTCCAAGTAACTTTAATAGTGGTCTCGTGAGGTAAAACTAAGTAGGGGCGGAGCTGAAGTTGTAACTTGAAAAATTTTTTAATCCTTTTTAACAGTTCAACAAGTACTGACTTACCTAAGGGCTATAATTCTGAATTATGGGAGAAATGAGAAATTTAGAAGTCTTGAGAACAGTTATTCATCTAAACCTTCTACCCCTGAATAATCTTTGAGATAAGAAGTAGAGCGAGCCCCTTTCTCCAGCCTTCCTCATACACGCCTTGACATGTCCACAGCCACCAGAAATTCCGTCACCTAGAATCACGTGTTGCACAAGAGCCTTGGAGGGCCTGTTCTTTTCTCTGAGACTTTGCTTGTGGCTTATGGTCTAGATTTCCAGCCTGTTTGTGCTGGAGTGTATGCTGACTGCCTCATGGATTCTTCCCCTGGACCTCCAACTCCTTTAAATACCAAACCAAACCCCCAGGTGCCTGGAAAGAATTGGCATGTTTGTCAGAGAACGGCAGCCAAGAGGCTTCTCAACAACCTCACCGAGGCACATCTTCAGATCTTTCTTCCGAGGTGCCGCTGAACTCCGGACCTGTGTGTTTGAACAATCTGTGTTCACTGTGAGAATTAAAGAGGATTCTCAGTAAGTGGCCTGGCGTCTTGCAGACAATGAAGGAACAGAAAACAGTATTCATTACTGTATTTCTTGTTGACATTTCAGATACACCCACCTGGTGGCACCTTACTAAGACCTAAAGTTCATGATGAATGTGAAATAAACATAGGTTATTCTGGTCATTTCTCTCAATACCTCTCAAGTGGGATTCTAAATAGTTCTGCTCTTCTAAGTAGAAAACAAAATCATGCAATTAAAAATGATGAAAACTTGAAGTATTTAAAAAAAATACTCCAAGACGATAGCCTTCAATATAGATTTACAACTCAGCATCAAGAAAAAAAAAAAAACAAACCCAACACATCCTCACAACTGTATCAATAAGCAACATCCTGATAGATGAAAAGATTGATGGTATCAATGATTTTACCTTACTCCGTTCTACAACCAACAACGAAGCTGTATGTATTCATGAAATCAAGACATGCTGCACTGGGAAAATCTGCTATCAAAGACATCTAAAAAGTGCTGAAGGACAAGAGTTTAAAGACTAAGGTGTGACTGAACTAAACTACAGTATTTTCAACTGCTTCCAGGAATACATTTGAAAGTTGGACAATGCATACGGGTGATCAAAGAAGAATCAATGTCTTTGAACTGAGGTGTTAGAGAAGAGTACTAAATATCCCATGGACTGCCAAAAGAACAAACAGATCTTGGAGAAGTGCAACCAGGGTGTTCCTTAGTGTTAAGGAAGGTGGTCTCACACACTTGCAGAATGTTGTCAAGAGATACTAGTCCTTGGAAAAAGAGATGCTTGAAAAAGTGTAAGGTCATCGAAAGAGGGAAAGACCCTAAATGAGATCATTAAAACAGTGACTGCAACAATGGGCTTGAGCATGGGATTTTGTAGGGCTAGCATAGGAAAAAAGACAAGGTTTCAATTTGTTATTTATAAGGTTGCTACGAGTTGTTACAGTCACCTCAACAGCACAAGACAACACTGTAGCATTAAGGATGTGCCACATCCTTGAAGTACTTATTAGTTCATTCTGCTCCAGATGAACAGCCAGATCCCTGGAACCTAGCACTAGTCCCAAGGTCAACAGTGAACACATGAATTCAGAAGACTCTCTCTAGTAATTATTCCTACAAACTGATAGTGATTCTCAACAAAGGATGCACGTTAGCAGCTCTTGGGTCCCTTCTAAAATGTAACTAGGCCAGGTTCCCACCCTCCTAGTGATTCTCAGTTGTTACGGGACAAGGTGGGGTTCAAGCCAGAAACATCTGATGTGTAGGCAGAAGCATGCTGCCCAGGTACTGACTTCGTTGATCTCAGGAGGATATCTGACATACTTGCATCCCCTGCTCTATTTTATCTTGTATTTTCCAAGGTTCACCATCTCCTTTTCTTTCTCAGAAAGGGAAGTACTCTGATCTTCACCTCTCCAAATCTCTTCCTTGTCCTTTCATCAGTAAGCATCTTACTTTAAAAAGACTTTATTAGTTCCGTCTTCTCCTTGAATTCGAGATCAATATCACAGAACAAAAATCCAATGTGCTTCTTCTCTGTAAATCCAACACGCAACACAGCCATACAGGGCAGGCACTCAGAGAAGACTGTTTACATCTGATTTCATCACTTCCACCCTTGGAAAACAGACAGTGCCCCAATACCTGTCCAGGTGTTATTTGAAGCTTGCCCACTCCCCAGTGGTGGGCCCTAACACATAACATTCACCAATGCGTGAATTACACAGACTCTGGAACGGCCTTATTTTATCGCTGCACTTCCAAAATGTCGAGTTTTACCAAAGCCACAAACTAGAGACCAGTTATCTCCATTGTCCCCAGAACCTACAGCGAGCTTCTACGATCCAGTGCCTCTTAAAACAAATTGAGTTTAACAAATTACCTAGGCTACAAGTGGGTGGGAGAGGAAGTCTCGTGTATCACAGAGTAAAATTAATAGCATTTAAACACATCAGCTTTATCCCAGTACTGAGTTGGGGTAGAGACCCGGGCAACTTGCAAACACACAGCAAGAAGGGCCCTCTCCACCCCGTACTTTCACCGTAGATGGGCTTGAAAAACAAGTCTGCTCTCCCCATTTCCGCGATCGGGGCACACGAATTTCTGTACAAAGGACTGATGATCCTGGCGGAGGTCACCCTGAGCTTCAAGGCACACAGGGCCAAGGTGGTGTGTGCGGCGTGGACCGGGTGTGATGAGCGACACTAGGAGCGAGAAGCCCGCGGAGAACGCGCATGGTATCCACCTGCTGGTCCTGCCGCTGCCTCAGATGCACGCCTGCCACGGTGGCTGCAGTCAGCAGGATCGACAGTCCCAGAACAGCCTTGGCGCTCCGCGACATGCCTACGCCAGCACCGCGCGTCTACCAGCGCCGGAAGTACCCGCAGCGCCCCACGCGTCACCGCCGGGGCCAGGCGCGACTGCTCGAGCCCAGAGCCCGCCGGCGTCAGGCGCGAGCAGTCGAGAGCCGAGCGCTGCCAAAGCGCGACTTCCGGAATCAGCGGGGTGGGCGCGCTCGACTTCCGGGAGGCATTCTAAGGTCTGGACATCACTGTAGTTCTGCTGAATGCAGCGGTGTCGGGACACTCCACTACTCCCTGTAGGGTCACCCTCATCATGGGGAAGTCTCAGGATGGAGCCTAGACCCTAGCCCTTCGGCGAGAGTACGGGGCTGGGCCCACCGGGGCGCCTGCTGCCCTTCTCCCATCCCTTGGCTTCTTTCTGAGCGTTGGACTGACTCCGATTCTTTGCTGCGTACGGGTTGTCACGTAAATGTCACTTGGTTTCTTTGGCAGGAGAGGTGCGACAAGAAGATCAGTTGCTTTATTTGGCAGCTCCAAAAGGTCGAGGTGGAAGTCTCTGTGGGGTGTTTGTTTCAGGACCTAGAATTAAACGTAGATAGCCACCTGTACTCATCTTGCAGTCACCTGTTCTCATCTTGCATTTGTGGTGTGTGTGGTCAGGCTCTGGTTTGCTATCTCACCTTATGTAAAGCGCTGGGTCATGAGTAAGGAGCTCTGCTGGTGCAGAGTTCAAGCATTGCGCGTTTAACAAAAAAAACAACAAAAAAAGCAGTCACTCTACAGAAGGAAGGCAGTCAGCTTCCTTAAAAATCATGCATGAACAATAGAATACTATGCTGCATTGAAAAACAAGGAACTCATGCGATATTATTCAAAATGGATGACCCTGGAGGACATTATGCTGAGTGAAGTATCTCAGTCACAAAGGGACAAATGCTATATGGTGCCACTGTTGTAGAATGAGGCTGGCATTGGGGTGGGGGTAAGACTGAGAAAAACTGGATGAAATATGTTTACGGCATTGAAGTCTATGGGGGAGAGAATAGTCTAAAAGTATTATATTTTAGGGCATTATTTTTATCGTAGGAGTATGCAATGAGGGTTGCAGAGTGGATTATATTTGGGGGTAGGGGGTGGAGTTTGGGGAGGTGCGGGGGGGATTGTGTACCAATGAGGGAGTTTTTCTTTTGCTTTTCAAGGAGAGGAGCAAATGGGGGGGAGGGGGGTACAACAATGAATGAATGGAATCCCAAAATCTCTGTAGATGTTCATTGAAATGAAAAATAAACAACCTAAATTAAAAAAAAATAAATAAAAACACGCATGAGAGTGCAACAATGAATGAATGAAAACCCCAAATCTCTGTAAATGTTCATTCAAACTAATAAAATTTAATAATAATTAAAAAAAAATCATGCATGAGGGCTGCCGCTGCCGAATCTGAGCGAGTGGAGCCGCCATGGAGATCATGGCGAGCCCAGGGAAAGACAATTTTAGAATGAAGAGCTGTAAGAACAATGCCCTAAACCCTGAGGAAATGAGGCGAAGAAGAGGGGAAGAGGGCATTCAGCTCCGGAAGCAGAAGCGAGAGCAACAACTTTTTAAACGGAGAAATGTTGAACTGATTAATGAAGAAGCCGCTATGTTCGACAGTCTCCTTATGGACTCCTACGTGAGCTCTACCACTGGGGAGGGTGTGATTACAAGAGAGATGGTGAAGATGCTTTTTTCTGATGATTCTGACCTGCAATTAGCAACCACACAGACATTCCGGAAATTTCTTTCCAAAGAACCTAGTCCCCCAATAGATAAGTGATCAACACTTCAGGAGTGGTGGATAAGTTTGAGGAGTTTCTGAAGAGGAATGGGAATTGTACATTACAGTTTGAAGCTGCCTGGGCCCTAACGAGCATTGCCTGTGGTACCTATCAATAGACCAAAATTGTGATTGATGCCGGGGCTGTCCCCATTTTCATAGAACTGCTTAACTCAGACTTTGAGGATGTGCAGGAACAGGCAATCTGAGCACTGGGAAACATAGCTGGAGACAGCTCCATTTGCCGAGATTACGTCTTGAACTGCTCTATCCTTAATCCTTTGCTCACACTTCTTACCAAGTCCACACGACTGACAATGACACGGAATGCTGTCTGGACTCTATCAAACCTCTGCCGGGGGAAGAATCCACCCCCAGATTTTCCAAAGGTCTCTCCTTGTTTGCCCGTGCTGCCTTTGCCTACTCTTCAGCAGTGACTCAGACTTGCTGTCAGATGCTTGCTGGCCCTCTCTTATCTGCCTGATGGCCCCAATGAGAAGATTCAAGCAGTCATAGACTCTGGAGTTTGCCGGAGATTGGGAGAGCTTCTGATGCATAACGATTACAAAGTGGCTTTTCCTGCTCTGCGGGCTGTTGGTAACATTGTCACTGGAGATGACATCCAGACCCAGGTCATTCTTAATTGTTTCACCCTCCCTTGCCACCTTCACTTGCTGAGCAGTCCCAAGGAATCAATCTGGAAGGAAGCTTGCTGGACCATTTCAAACATCTCTGCTGGCAACAGGGCTCAAATACAGGCTGTCATAGATACAAATATCTTCCCTGTGTTGATTGAAATCCTTCAGAAAGCAGAGTTCCATACAAGGAAAGAAGCAACTTGGTTCATCACTAATGCCACATCAAGAGGAACACCTGAGCAGATAAGATACCTGGGCTCATTGGACTGTATCAAACCCCTATGTGACTTGCTGACTATGATGGATTAAAAAATTGTACAAGTAGCGCTCCATGGACTAGAGAACATACTTAGGCTTGGCGAGCAAGCAGGCAGGCGCAGTGGCTGTGGGGTCAACCCCTACTGTGGCCTCATTGAGGAAGCTTATGTCTTAGATAAAAATTGAGTTTCTCCATAGTCATGAGAACCAGGAAATCTACAAGAAGGCCTTTGACCTCATTGAGCACTACTTTGGTGTAGAAGATGATGACAGCAGTCTGGCTCCTCAAGTGAATGAAACGCAACAGCAGTTCATCTTTCAGCAGCCTGAGTTTCCCATGGAGGGCTTCCAGCTATAAGGTCTGCCTCCGAGGAGGGGAGGGGATGGGAAGCACCACCAGCCAGCGGAAAAGCAGCCCTCTGGTGTGCGGAGGGAACCATCGCACCACCATCAGCTACCACACACCTCTGCTGCCCTGGAGACTGTGCTCTTGACCTGCTCCACCCTCTTCCCTAGAGGGACCACCCTCTGGACAGAACCATCTGAGGCTCACATTTGGGTTTTGTGACGAGAAGGGATATGTTGGGTTTTCCCTCTTTACACTATATTTTGGCAGCATACATGTCTTTAATCCAGGAGCCCAGGGGTAGACAAAGGAGGGCGGAGGTAATTTTTGCACCTTTTTTTAAAAACAAAAACTAACACACCTTTTTCCACCCTTTTGTGGTGACTTCCTTCCCTTTTATTTTTCTTCATCCTTCCCAGTCCTCTGCCCTGATGTGTGTAACTCTTATCTTGGGTTACTTGAGCAGATGGAATATTCACCAGAGGTAGGGGGTGGGAGGGGAGGGAAGAAATCCAAAACAAAAGTGTTCTTGCTTTGACAGAATATTAATCTTATATGCTTGGATTGTGTTATTTAATTTTTTCTTTTGCACATTTTTCTTGTATTAAGGTTGCTCTTCCCAAGAGCCATGAGTCCCTGGTTTTAGGAATCCCTGCTGTCAGCATTGTCTGGGACTAGAGAGTGAGGATGAGACCACCGTGAGGCAAAGGTTCTTTCTTCCCTCTGACTCTTGTGCCCAGACAGTTTGGGAGAATCCCCTCACTCTCTTGGGGCAGATACACCAGTGGGAGTGGAGGGGAGGAGCACAGGCCATCAGATGGGGCTTCCCATGTGTTGCTACTGATCCCGTGTTTCCTACCCACCTTCTCAATGGTGCAACCCAACTTCATTTGTTTACTTGAAAATTCCCTCCGGAGTTGAATGAGCCTCTGAGGTGACTATATTTTCCCTAAGGATGAGATGGGAGGCTTTAGTCCCTCCTTTCTCCTGAGGAGAAGATGGTCCTTACTGGTATGACCCAGAAATTTCAGAAGAGGTCAGATTTAGAGTGTAATGTATAGCCAGGGATCCATCTCTACCTTTGTCCCTTCTTCCTGTTGCATAGTTGGATCATGTATATTTTACTTCCAAAATAGAGAATGCCAAAAAGTTCTGTACTTTTTTATATTCTATATATTAGGTAGGTCATTCTAATTGGTCTCTTGAGGAAATAATGATCTGATGTAAGTAGGAAGATACTGTGAGGAAGACTAAAAAGAGATGTAGAAGCCTGAGGTTGGTATTTTCCCTCTCTACTTGTATTCTGGGCTATCACCTGGGACCAGCCCTGAGCTCTGAAACATTTATATAGCAGGACAACATGAACTCATTGTCCTAGTATCTGATGAGAGCAAGGATGCCCTAGGGTCTGTTAAGTCCTCACTGCTGAGCATCCTGCTTAAGTCAGGAAACACAGAAAGCAGTCTGCCTTCTCTGAGTCCATCTCAAAGATCCCTGTCCACATGAGTTAACACACATCGTTGCCTCTTCTATTTTCGCGGAGACTTAAAGCAACTTGAGTATTTTTGTGAAAGCTATTGGTATCTTCCTGTTTGGGGTTCTGGTACCTGATTTGGGTCATGCCCTTCCTTATGATAATTATAATTCAAATGCCTTTTCCTTTTTTAAATTAGTGCAGTACCTCAGTGACTTCCCTATACCTCTGGGTGGATTACATATGATAAAGCCCAGTTGTCTGGGATCAGGGTAAAGAAAATTGTCAGCTAAGTAAAGACCAAGGGTGGAGCTGCTAAAGGCACAGTGTGCCCCCTCTGCCCATCCTACTATGGTCAATCAGGGAGATACTCTGTTTCAAGCTGACTATTCCTTTCCCCAAAACAGTGTCATTCTTGCTCCCATTCCTATACATCCCATTCTGGCTCAAGTGAAATCCTTGCCCCTTTGCTTACAAGTCTAATGTTCAGGTGCTCACTGTGAGCC